ACTCTTCAGTTTGGCTTGCTGGGGTACGCTCTCAGTCTGGTCTCAGCTACTATGACAGGTTGTTCTGTTGAAGGGGCCTCTAGAACTGTGCTAGCCAAGATTCTTTGGTAGCCCTGAATTTGATTCCAGGGTTTCTCCCTCATAAATATTATTTTAAGTTGATTAATTTTCTGTGTCTACTCATATTTTTAAAAAATCTTCAATTAGTATTCTCATGACCCAACCTCTTAAAAAACAAAGTGATTGATAGGTGTGTGCCTGCAGAAGTCTGTGTGCATATGTGTGCAGGAGACTGAGAAAGGGCATCAGATTCTCTGTAACCAGAGACTGTGGGTGCTGGGAAATGAACTCAGGTCCTTTGCAAGAGTATCAAGTAGTCTTATCTGCTGAGCCATCCCTCCAGCCTTGAACCTTCTTCTTTTTAATCTCTTCTTTCTGTCAGGATTTATTTCTTATAGTCTTTTATTTCTTGCCACTACCCTAGCAAATCACTGGGATCTGAATCTATAAACACAATGATAATAATCACCATGGCAGTTACGTTCACCAAGAACTTCCTCTCTAGTAGACACCGAGCCCTTAATGTGATCTTAGTCTGGCAGGGTTGTCTTCAGACACTCAGTTCCAGTAATGTGACAGAACACCCTGAAAAGCTTCTCAGGAATCAACCAGCAGTGGTTCAGAAGAGCAAACAGCTTTTAAATGCAAATCTGAGCTGGTGAGGAACAGAAAGAATACCCAGGGTAAAAGCTTTGAAGACAAAGCTGAAAACCACAGTGGCCAGCACCACTGGTTTTGGCTGCCTGAAGGTGTCTCAGGTCTTTCTAACCAAGGCATTTGGAAACCACTTGGGAAAAATCTAAGTCCTAGGCCCTCTTTACATTAAAGAGGTGAAGCTTAAATTTCAGCTTCATTATATTAAATAAGAAATGAGGCTAAAAATCCCATGAGCTGAGTGGTCACCCTGAAAAATGAGACAAAGAACAACCAATGAAATCCAAGAAGAGTTGAACAGAAGTAATAAAGAACACATTCCAACACCCCCTAAAGCAACAGCCCTTGAAGACATATGATTTCAGTGGAAAGACAAAGCTAGAAAAGAAATTGTGTACTGGCTAAGGGAGACTAACAAAGAAACTGGCCTGTTTTGACCAAATTCTGGTCTGAGGAAGAGGAATGCCTGTGGAATTTATACACACAGTGCCCCCACCCCACCCCCTCATATTCAAGCTAATAAGAGAACCAAGAAGCACAAGTCCCTGCTTGGAAAGATCCCTAAAGCATGTGGCAGATAAGGACATATGACACACAGACTATGCCTACTCACTGTCGCAAGACAAGCTCTCATAGCTGAGGCCAGCATTTCTGTGCTCAGAGCAATGTCCATCCACAGCCATCCTTTAGGGCATTGCTTCTAGGAGCTGCAGCAGCAGGGGAAGCAGCAGAGACAGAGGCAGCGGCAGCATCCCCTGAGAGCTCCCTAGAACCCCCAGGACCAGGATAGCCAGCACCTGGGTGTTAAGCTCTGCAAGTGACTTGGATTGGCACTCAAATTACAGAAAATTCTTCCTATTCTTCCCTGTAAGAACTACTGCCATTACAGACACAGGAAATTTCAGAATTCCTACTCTAGATTGTAATTTTATCTTATGCCTACCAAACCATTTTTAAGGCACTTAGGAGCTGCTTAGTGTGGAATTGGGAACTAGACTCAGGTTCATTTTCAGATGGAAAACATCAAGTGCTCTTAACTACTAGCCCATCTCTCCAATCCCAACAAGCAGAAATTTTTAGAACACCAAAGTTTTCAATTTTAAAACACTGGAACATATATCTTATCACTCCCAGGTTTTACATAATAAGAGGGACCCTTAAACAGGTTCCAACTAGAAAATGAAATTCTCCCCTTGATTACCTAAAATCTACTCATGTGATAATTAGCACAAGACTGAGATACAAATTACCTTCACATGAATAGAACCCCATTTGCATAAATTATAATTCTAATATCTTCTATTTTCAGTTCAGAATTTGGATATGTATATGCTGTATTTTTACTTGGGTAGAGAGAAACAATGTCTTAAACAGATTGATGATTGATTCTGTTTCTTTAATGATATGTGTAATTTTGAAATTTGGACATCTTTCTTGGAACACATCAGACCATTTGGACACCTTTGATTCCTCACACTCAAGTTATGTGTAGTCAACTTCATATGGGTCAAAAATAGGAAAAGCCCTTATTAAAATACAGTAGCTTATTATTATTGGAAATTTGGGAATATCATTACAGAGTTGCTACAAGTTACCAGGGAAATTGGGGTTCCCTTTTAAGGAATTTAGTCTCATTAATAAAAGAATTTAAGAAGAACTCAAAAGAAAGCTGGAGGACAACTATAATAGCATTTAAAAAAAAAACTCCTTAGTCCTATTTTTTTGTTGGCTCCCCAATAACGACACAGAGACTTACTATTAATTATGAAAGCTTAGCTGATAGCTTAAGCTTCCTTCTAACTAACCCATAATTTTAAATCTGCATTCTTCCACACACTCGTTACCTCATCTCCATTATAACCATCCAGGTTATTCTGTGTCTGGCTGGTGACTCTGCCTTTCTTCTTCCCAGAGCCCTCTCTGTCTAGAAGTCCCACCTATACCTCCTACCCAGCTATTTGCCAGTTAGCTGTTTATTAAACCAATCACATCTTCACACAGTGTAAAGGAATATTCCACCACACCCCAGGGAAGCCAGCTGTAAATATTGGCCACAGCCTGAAGGAGGACAGAGGAGAAATCATGCTAATTAGTGCTAATTAGTTCACATGGAGGCCAACCACTGGAGGGGGTGGGGGGCAGCCACATGGTAGAGAGGGAACTGCAGAGAAGAGTGAGGCTCCAAGCACCAGAGGAAAGGAAAAGGGACACTTTCATCAGAAAAGGAGGCAGACTTTCAAAACACACGCAGTGTCTCTGTAAGCAGTCACTATTGCAGCAAAATGCATGGAGTTATAAGAACCACTGTGTCTACTCTGAAAAGCATGCCTTTTCTAATTACAAAGCCTGCACTAATGCAATCAGTGATCAGCATGGCCTCCTACATGACCTTCTTCCATTCTCTCCACATAAGCACAGGAATACCTCCAAAGGCACGTGTGTGACAGAAATAGGAGCAATGCCATTGGTGAAAAAGAATGGTTCTGTATATGCTCTGCCCCAAAAGCCTTTGCTAGTAATTCCACTGCAACCTGGCACCCCTCCTTGTACATCTCTCCTTTATCACCACTGTATCAGGTCCCTCAGATATGTCCGCTCTAAAGGCCTACTTGTCTTTGGTGAGAAGATGGGGTCCCTGGGCGTTCAGGCCAGTTTTCATACCAAGTGACAGGATGACGAGCATTGTGAGGACAGCTTCATCTCTAGCACCAGAACCTGATGTATACCCCCCACACCACATTCACTAACAACTCTTTTTTTTTGTATTTTTTTTTATTAGTTCAAATTAGGAACAAGCTTGCTTCACATGTCAATCCCTTCTCCCTCTCCCTCCCCTTCCCCCACCACTCCTCCCCTACATCACCCCTACCCCCCACCCCATCCACCCTCCACTCCCAGGCAGGGTGGGGCCCTCAATGGGGGCTCCCCAAAGTCCACCACATCATCCTGGACCCAGCCTAGGCCCTCCCCCATGTGTCCAGGCCGAGAGTGCATCCCGAGACATGGGATGGGCTCTCAAAGTCCCTTCATACACCAGGGAAAAATACTAATCCACTACCAGGCCCCCCCTAGAGTTCGGAGGCCTCCTTATTGCCATCCGTGTTCAGGGGTCTGGATGAGTCCTGTGCTGGCCTTCCAGACAGCAGTCTGCGGTCCATGTGCTCCCCCTTGTACAGGGCAGCTGTTTCCTTGGGTTTCACCAGCCTGGTACCAACCCCTTTGATCTTCATTCCTCCCTCTCTGCATCTAAGTTCCACAGTTCAGTTCAGTATTTATCTGTGGGTGTCTGCCTCTGCTTCCATCAGCCGCTGGATGAGGGCTCTAGGATGGCATATAAAGTAGTCGTCAGTCTTATTATAGGGGAAAGGCATTTATCCTCTCCACCATTTCCTAGATTGTCAGTTCATGTCATCCTTGTAGATCTCTGGAAATCTCCCTGGTGCCAGATCTCTCCTCGGACCTGTAATGGCTCCCTCTGCTATAATATCTCTCATCCTGCTCTCCTCTATTCTTCCCCCAACTCAATATTTCTGATCCTCCATTTCCTCCTCTCCTCTTCTCCTCCTCTCATTCTGGCAGCTCCCTCTCCCCTACCCTCATGCTCCCAACTAGCTCAAGAGTTCCTGCCCCTTCCCATTCCCAGTCCATGCATGTTTTTCCTTAGAGTCCTTCTTGTTTCCTAGTTTCTTTGGTGAAGAGGATTATAGGCTGGTAATCCTTTGCTCTATGTCTAAAATTCATATATGAGTGAGTACATACCATGTTTGTCTTTTTGTGACTGGGTTACCTCACTCAGGATGGTTTCTTTTAGTTCCATCCATTTGCCTGAGAATTTCAAGATTCCATTGCTTTTTTTCTGCTGAATAGTACTCCATTGTATAAATGTACCACATTTTCTCTATCCATTCTTCAGTTGAGGGGCATCTAGGTTGCTTCCAGGTTCTGGCTATTACAAACAATGCTGCTATGAACATGATTGAACATATGTCCTTGTTTGGACGTGCATTATTTGGGTATATGCCCAAGAGAGGAATTGCTGGATCTTCAGGTAGACTGCCATTTTTTCTGAGAAACCACCATACTGATTTCCAAATTGGTCTTACAAGTTTGCACTCCCACCAGCAATGGAGGAGTGTTCCTTTTTCTCCACATCCTCTCCAGCATTGATTGTCAGTGGTGTTTTTGATTTTAGCCATTCTGGCAGATGTAAGATGGTATTTCAGAGTTGTTTTGAGTTGCATTTCTCTGATGGCCAAGGATTTTGAGCACTTTCTTAAGTGTCTTTCAGCCATTTTAGATTCCTCTGTTGAGAATTCTCTATTTAATTCTGCACCATGCTAATCTTCTTTGTATCATTCCAATTTTAATATATGTGCTGCCGAAGCAAGCACCACTAACAACTCTTTCATTTAAACATTTCTATATTCACCATCATCAACATCCCCATTAACTTCTCAGTGATCATAACCCCAATACAATGGCTGTGACCTCAGGTGCCATCACTACATCCCATGTGCTAAGAGATGGTACATACAACAGAAAGAGAGAGGAGCTTAGACATCAGGCTGGTGCACACATCAGAAACAGAAGCTTAGAGACCAGGCTGGTGCACACATCAGAAGGAGAAGGAGCTTAGAGACAAGCCATGCTGGAAAATTTCAAATCAATGTTGTAGTTTCTGATATTATGAGGGTTTTTTTTGAATGTTGTTTTTACATGAAAAGGAGGGATGACACTTTCCTTGACTGATATTTCCATAACTTGCTTAGGTGTATAAACTTGCCATCTCGGGAGTGATTTCGCAATTCTGTAAGTTTTGCCCAGGGTGGGTATTCAATGACTCTGGAGAAATGAGTGACTGACGGAAGTTGGAGAGGACAGGCACACTTCATCTGGGCTAGCAGTTTTAAACACTAAGTGGTTGTTAGTGGCCCAAACCTTTCTTGGAGGCAAAAGTCAACACTGAAAAGAAGGATGGCCTGCTTCCATTAAAGCAAGGAAGAAGTGTCCTGTGACCCCTGCTCTGTCCTGTTTATCACTGTACACCAGTCACCCTTGTCTTTGGACTTGAGAACACAGTTTGAAGAATTACAGACCTGGGATATATACCAAAACTAAGCTATCCTTTATCCATGTTACACACATTTTCCCATTAGTTATACTTTCTTTTTTTTTTTTTACAAATAATTCAAATAAGATCATTACCATATTTTTAAACTTGTACTGTTGATGACACTTTGGAAAATTAATTTTTGATGGTGAATAAACTCATAAAAACCCTTCAAGTTTTGTTCAGTTTATTCTCCCTGGTGTTTTTCTAGTATACACTCATAGTCACCTGATGTTTTTCTAGTATACAGTCACATTGGTTCCAAGGGATGGTTTTAAAGCTTTCTATTCTTATCTCTTCCTGTTTTTGTGTATGCACCAGGATTTCCAAAATAACTTTAATAAAAAAATGTCTTGGTGTGCTTCCTATTAGCTCTCAACTTTGATCAGTGATCTTCTAGACCATATAATCATGCTTTGTCTCTAGAGTCTTGCACCCAAGCCTCTAGTGTTTGGGTTAGAGTACACCTCAAGCATTGGGCGTTTTCAATTTCTCTCAGTGGTTTTCATGTTCAGAAATCAGGGCTGCTCCAACCCAAGTCATTGCCACGAAACATGAGTCCAGCAGCTCATTGAATAGATGGTTTATGGTGAGTTTTCTATTCTTGACTATCTAATATTTGTCTGGTTTTAGCTTTAAAAAGCATGTTGCAATGATCATTTCCTATTTTACATAGTAGTTATTGAATATATAAAAGTGATAAATAAAAAACTCTAGTGTTCCTCAGTTTAATTCAGCTTGGCTATGAAAGTAAGTCCTTCATTACATTATTCTGTTCAGTTTTCACTTATAGTCAGCATTTAGTGCAGTGGTTCTCAACTTGTGAGTCGTGACCCCTTTGTGGGTGGAACAACCCTTTCACAGTGATCATATATCAGATATTTACATTACAATTCATAATAGTAGCAATATTACAGTTATGAAATAGTTATGAAAATAAAATAATTTTATGCCACCACAACCTGAGGAACTGGATTAAAGGCTCATAGCATTAGGAATGTTGAGAACCACTGCTTTATAGCTTTTTTATGTATTCGCTGTCCTGTTTTAAGAAATTGAGCCATAAATGGACTAAATGTCTTGCAAGGCATACAGCTGGAACTTGGAAGCTGAGGACATGCCTTTGGACACGATTTAATTCTCTGTTATATGAAGTGCCTCTTGTGTGACTTTACACAGAAATTCTTAGCCCTCCCTTCTTTACTTTCTGAGCTATAAAATAAGAATAATTGTTAGGAGATTATGTGAGTTAATATTTGTGAAACTACAAATCCTTGGCAGGCACTCAGCAAGTAAAATAAGGGATAGCAGAACCCAGCCAGGTGCTCTGACACCTGGGTCTTAACCCTCCGTCTAGGATCTATCTAGGTTATTCCAATCTTTTGTGCTTTAGCGTCTTGAGCATCTTTCATAATTGCTGATCTAAGGAACTTACTGGAAGAAATTTTAATTACTTCAAACAATATTCTCTCATAGTTGTTTGTAAATAAGCTTCATGTTTTTCTTCAGTCAATTTTTCTGATTTATATTATTTATAAATAATTGACTTTCTATTTTGTTAGCATAGGCATGTAGATTTTTCTAATTATGAACTACATATACTATATTGATCTTTCAGTTATCTAATTTCAATTAATTTCCTGTTTACAAACACTGGCTTAAATTTAGAAACCTTGTTTTGGATCCCCAACCCCAATAAGCTGGTCCTTGTATTAATTTCTTTATACTACTAATATTCAGTTTCAACAAATAATTTCTGGTTTTTAAAGTATATCTTCTTGAATAGAATGCTTCATTTATCTTGTTTTGACTCAATCATTTAAAATAATGGAAAGCACCCAACACTATAAATTTGCTGGGTATAGCTTGACCGTGCTTGGTTGCTTTCATTTGTAGTGCATCTCACATGCTGTGGGGGAATTATCCCAATCACTACACTCATGCTGTCAGTCACACTTATTCTTTTCTTTTTGTCCTCCTGGGCCACTGTATTTGTTGCTTTTTTCTGTTGTTGTGATCAAACATCATGACTGACAGGGACTTACAAAGAGGTTATTTTGGCTTGGGAGAGGAATGGTAACAGGCCTCCAGAACAGGAAGCTTATCGGGCCCCCAAAAATATCAATTATGGTATTTCAGATACAGGCCTCAAACTCTATTCCAGGAGCCTGAATCTCTCATTGTCTTCCAGATGCCAGCTAATTACCTCCAGAAGGCTTGGCTTCTCCTTGTTTGTATAACAACAGACGTAGGCCCTGGGTGTACCCATACCTGTTCTGAGGGCTTATTTATGTGCCTAGGGACTGTTTAGGTGTGCCGCTAGGGCTAAAATAATTTTTTGATATCAGCTTTATACATTATAGTAGATATCATCTGTGGTCACCCCCACTGTGGGAAAGCTATTTAAGAGGATGCTTGAATAAACCATGGACTCCAGACAGCAGGATGGACTGAGAGCCCTCCTGAAATTGCAAGATGTCTGTGTCTTGTCTTTATCAACATTGGGTAGCTAGGAGGTTCTCGGTCCAGCATTCACTGACTCAGGGATGGACACGGGGCCATTTGGCTGGTCAGCCCTGAAGACATCAGTCTGGAATAGACAGCCTCTGTAGCATGGGACTGATACAAGCCAGGCCCTGGCAGAAGCTGAGAGCAAACTTTCAACCTCAAATACAAAGCAGAGAGAGTGAATGAGACATGGGATAAAGGGGAATCTCTCAAAGCCCACAAAATGGTGTACTTCCTCCGACAGGTTCCCCAAATAATACTACCAACAGGGATTGAGTATTCAAATATGTGAGCCTATGGGGCTCATTCCTTATTCAAACCACCACAAGCTACTTTATTACCTGGGATCTTTCTTTTGAAACAGATAATCTCTTGATTTCATTTATCCCCTTTACCATGTGGTGCTTGTGTGTGATTGTGACAAAGGAGAGGAGATGAGAAGGTCTTCTGATCTAGTTATAGGAGCTAGACTCACAAACAATTAATAGTCTTCCCACAATCATCAAAGGAACACAATGAGAGGAGATGGAGCAAGAGGGGGAGAAGGGGAAGGAAAGGGAGGCAGGGAGGAGGAGGTGGATAAAAGAAGAAATGGAGGAGGAGATGGAGAAGGGGAGATGGAGAAGGGGAGATGAGAGAAGAGAGGAGAAGGGAATGAAGAGATGAGATGAGAACCAAGGGTAATAGCATTAATTGTATAGGGCTACACAAGGAAGACTTTCAGAAAACCTTAACCAGATGTTGGTGATGCAAACCTGCAATTACAGCACTCAGTAGAACACTCAAGAGGTTGAGTTGGGGGTAATACATGTTACAGGCCAAGCTGCACTATATACACTGTATGCTCCCGGCAGGCCTGAACTACATGAGAGCCTGTCTTAAATCAAACAAATGAAACAAACAAACAAACAAACAAACAAACAAACAAACAACCAGCAACAAAAATACCACACACACACAAAAAAAAATAAAAATAAAAATAAAAACAGAAACTCTCCTGAGACCTAAAGAAAAAAGTACAGTTTGAATAGAAGGAATAGAAAAAAAGTTAATATTATAGGACATTCAAGTCCCTCTAGATGAGTTTGAAAATTGGTTGCAACCCTAAGAAAATATTAATTTTTAAAAATTGAAGCAGCTGGTTCTAAGACTTTTCTTATAAATATAAAAACCCAAGTTTTGCCAGAAAATTCTGCAAAGGAAGCATAATGAACTCATAAATTAGGCAAGTTCTGCCAGCTAATAAAGAACATTTTATATGAAATGTGATTAAGCTACATGGATTAATCAGTATAGAGAATCCAGACTAGCCTCAAACACATGCAAATTTAGTCTGAGACAAAAGTGAAATTTCAAACCAAATGTGTTATTTGAATACTAGTGATACTGCCCATACAATTATATTTCCTTCCCTAAAATATTGTGAATTTTCGGGTTGTAGACTTCTTATGTGTTAGAAATTTTGTTACATTTTATATTTTTGTATAAATGAATTTATTAAGTCCCAGGAGAAGACACAGGGGAGTTATTTTATATTAAAGATGTTGAGCAAAGGTCTTTTTTAGCATTTGTCAAGCACTGATGCCATGTGATTTTTTAAAATACTTGTATATATTTATTCAGGTAATTGCCACATGGTATTATAATTTTCTTTCCAGATGAGATGCCAAAGCACAAAAATTTAAAATAGACCTAGTATTGGATCCTGCTGCTCCATGGCAGGTGTGAGAGTACGAGGCACTGCTGATGCTGACACACTGGAGAAACTCCTGC